CACTTTGATATAATGTCCTTGCTTGGACTAAAAACTGCATCTTTTGCATGTAGATGTTCAAGGCAGGTGTCAATCACTGTGTTAAAAACACCTCAGGTCTAGTTCAAATGAAAAATTGCCAGCAGTCAAAGAACTGAATGGCTCATGGTAAAAGTAATGTGCTCCAGAGCACCTTCTTCCAGCTACTGCTATCTAGGTATCTAGGTATATTCAACTTCCTTGGTATATCCTCAAACTATTATTATCTATTTCCTTCTCCCAAATATGATTGACACTGCCACCCAGCAGACTGTTTATCCATGTAACCAAACTTTCCTGGGACCCTAATAGAGTTCAAGACCTTCAAAAGCTGTCAAATATAAGTTAGGTCTGGCACAGTGTGTGTGTGACCTTCTGCATGAAATTTTCAATTGGAAATAAACATATAACTCTTGGCTACAACTTCTCTGTATTGAGCAAAATGTAGCATTTAGATGTGCCAGAGAAGAGGAATATTTGTTTGACTACTAAGAATGGTCTCAGGATCAGTCTGAGTTCAGGTTTTGATGCCAGGCTGGTTCATGTTTACAATACCATACATTAATGTAAATATACAAAGGCTCCATGTTATGAGTAACCTCTTGGGACCACTGGAGGACCCAAATTTGGAACATTGTGAACTATTTGTTATAATATTTGAGACACATATACTTAAACCATTGATGCCACTCTTTACTAAAGTACAGATCACTGGGAGGGTACATGTATGTAAAACCTTGCTTGGGAGTTGTTTGGGACATTCTCAAAACGTTTTTCTTCCTAAAGGATGATATAAATCCAGTTACTACTTAGGATAACTAATGATGCAGAAAATGAGGTTGACAAGTTGGCTCACAGAACAACCTAAGATCCTAACAGAGGGGGAGGGGCAGGATTTGACCTACTTTTCACTTCTCTTTCATGTCCCTTGGACCACTTGGGGAACATAACATAACACCCTGATGGACACCACACCCACATTATCTCCACATCTTCCACTCAGTACAATAGAAAGTCACACTTAAAATGTTTCTATCACCTAAAGCCTTATAAGTAAAAAGGGATCTTTCCTTGCAGTACAAGGAATTGCCAACAAGCTCATTCATTCATAATTTCGTCCTGGTGAATATAAGAAACTCCTCTCAGTGCCCCAGAGAAAGCTTGCAGCTTACTTACTAAGTATCCAATGTCCAGATCAATGAAGAGATTAATCAGCTAAAGGGCAACCTCTCACTGTAAATTCAATATGGGATATTGAGTCTGGTGACAGCTTAACTAGCCATGGAACATGTTTTCATGTCATAGTTTCGGCAACCTGTCATGGGGGCACTCCGGGACAATTCTATTGAACTTATCACGGCATTAACTTGTGTCAAAAATCTTGAAACAAACATAAAGATGTCTGTCTATGTCTTTTTAAGCTCTACTAGTAAATGTAAATAGAGAGTAAATGTAAGAAAGACCTGTCATCAAATTTGTCTAAATTATGTCACTGTTCACTTTTCTATGTTTACCAATGGCAACAGACAAAATAGAGAGTTATTTTACTTCACATGCATAATCAAAGGTCCTGTGACTACAAAAAGTTCTAGACAGTAAGCTGAGTAACACCTATTATGTAGGCATTGTTTTCTGAATGAAGTCATTCCAACTGAACAACAAAGAGAGGATGCGTCATTCATTGGTATAGGGAATACCTCAGGTGGTGTGGTAGAGTGAACAATAGGGCTGGCATGTAAATGGCCTTGTTTGGTAGTCCACAATTCTTGGCCTTTGATATTTCCTGTCTGCACAAAACCTGGCATTGTTACAACAATTCTGTCTGAGGAATTTCCTTTACCAGCTGTGGTTTGACCAAATCTGTGACTCACACTCTCAAAATACATTACTGTAACAGTTCAGGAAAGAAAATAGTATTTCAGATTTACCACTATAACAATAAAACCACATACATGGAGTACTGGGTATTTTCCTTTAGAGTAAAATTCCCTTCTACTAGTTCAGAGTATGATGGCTCATTGGCTAGGCAGCAAAAATATTGTTGTAACTTTAGTCTCAGGCCAAACGTTTGAACAAATGTTTTCCTTTTAACACCTTGTTGTTTTATATTTTCTCCATCTACTTTGTTGTGAAAACTCCCTCTCTCTCATAGGATGTTCTCTTCATTTTCATAGTGATACCAATTCATTTTCATATATAACCATAACAATCTATTCTGTGGGGTACTTATAGCAAAGTTATACTGACTTCTGACCCAGAATGTAACTTCTGGTGCCCTGACCTCTCTTTTGAAACCATAACATGGATGGGTAACCAGATCTAGAGATTTGTCTGGTACTCAACTGGAACAAGGTTCTCTAGGGAAACATCAGCAGACAGGGCTCCATATATAGAGATGACCCTTCTGGCTATGTTATGGTGTTGCAGACTACGTTTATGCAGATTGTATCTTTCACTTACTTACTTACTTCACTTCTTTATGGGCTTTGTATTACATTACTTAACATTCTCACCTCATCACCAAAGCCAAATGTATACAAAAAACATTATGCTAATCCTGTTATCCTATGTGATGTGTGCATTATTGACCTAAATACAAGACAAAATGACTATTCATCATACGTCATGCATATTTTCCTGACATTCAGCATATATTCTCCAAGGTGAAAACTTGATTTAATACATGTATTTATGATTTCCCCTTTTGTCTTGTCAATAAAGTAACCATAAGCCATTGAACCCTGCACAGTCAGGTTAATAAACCATGAAACATAGTGTGTTACAGATATAGCCTGACAGCTGCTGTCCTACCCCCCACGGATCGGAGAGACCTTCTGCCACCCCCTGGCTAACCTCATTCTCCATTAATCCTCGCATCCATAATGCTTTGCGCTGAACATAAAACTAAAAATGTACACATTAATGTCCTGCCATGTTGACCTTTTTCTCCCCACCGATATGGCAAAGCAAGGGTAGCTAATTATAGTTTACAACGAAACATGCTGACCTTGCGTATGGAACGAACTACATGTATTGAAGTTTTGCAGTAGTAATAGACAGGATACTTTAGACTACTGAAAGCTAATTTTGATCTGACATTGTCATTTGTGGGCATTGGCAATGAATAAGCTGCTAGTGATACATTTACTGATTTTATACATGTTGATGAATGTTAGACATCTAGGTTAACAATACTCAAAGACAAATTAAACTCTACTACTGGATAAATTTTACAGAAAATACTTCTGGATGTTTCAAGGACATCCTTCACTCTTCTTCAGTGTCACTAAAATTACCTGTGAGAACAAGTCGACAGTAGAGAGAATCACCATTACATATCCAGAAGTAGAATTTGATTTGTCTTTGAACATTAATTACGTAATACCTTGACCTCAAACATCCAAAGGATGACCACATCAAAACTTTTATAAAATCATTAAATTTGTCAAATGGCTTTGATGTTATCCCCCTGTATTTACCAGATCCCATATTGGATAGGTTACCAGTAATTGGGTTATCATCTTTGCTGGTTGGACACACATGTACCATTTGGCCCAGATATACACATCGACCACATCATCCTAAATGGCACAAATGTTATACGTCAAACTCAGATCCCCTTAGATTATATGGATTAAGATTGTCAACCTCACTTCATCCTGACTGAAGCCTAAGCTAACAGTAAAACAATGAATTGCAAGAAAGCAGTTACGTACAAGAACAATTTTACTATCTGCCCTTCTTTATGCTATTTTGTAAGTTCCAGGCAGCCTAGCTACATGTAGATACAAGTAGTGTTAGAAGTTCTGTCTGCTGTAGGCTACAGTCCCAGCCAAGTTGGCACTCATCACTGTTTGTTTAACTATGTTTAGATCCAGGAAACCTTGACAGGGATTCCTTCCCTGAGGCTGACGCTACCCAGGGTATAAACTCAAGCTTAAACACTTGCTACTGAGTCCTGTGTTATATTGCATATACAGTGACATACTTATTGCAGACTGGCTGTGATGTTCATTGTGATGTCAGTATGACTGACTATCATTAAAGTCTGTGGTCAAGTTATATAGCAGTGATGGTTATACAAGTATTATAAATGGCAAAATGTTTATCGTCAAATGAAGTTTTAGTTACTTTTCTTATCCAAAAATCAAACTTGTTTCTGTATGCTATTGTACTACTGTAGTATGTTGCTTAGATCTTGAAGTGGGACCAAAAGACTACTGTAGTACATAGACCCAGTGGCATAAAACTATGCATATTTGTCATTTGTTATGACTAAATAAATAAATGATTGATAACACCTTTACATCCTCTGTTAAGCTGACCCAAAGCCTGTACAGACATACTCAACAGAGAGACTTTCCCCAAGCTGATTGTGGAATTTTCTAATAACATTGCAGACTTGGCAACTAGCCTGCTTCAGGCGGGTTAAGTTTAAACTGCCTTGACAGAGTCTGTGTCTAGTTTTTTGTCAACTTACATGTATGATCAGCAAGAATTTCAGGCTCTCCACAATTTTACAACAATGATATAGTGTAATTAACTGATGAGTACAGCATAAACCATAGAGGTAGAATTGGAGCTTCATACAACCTCCTTGAATAAACATAACTCAAACATAATGCATCCCACAATAATCTTTCTTATGTTGGCATATTACATATTTCAATAATAAAGTTTGTCTTTGGCCTAGATAAGTTGACTGCAAACCTTTTGGAACCTACACAATGATTAATTATTTAGGACCACCTTGGAAGAACCTTTACTGAATTACAGCACGACCACAAGTAATTATAGATGGTTTACTGAACTTGACTGCCGCAAAATGCCTGTGAAAATCTGAGTCTCTTTGATCTCAATAAACATGACACCGCAACAACTGCGGCTTTATAACCCCATAGCTATGAGGTCAAACAAGACAACTGCAGTGACTAGGGTGAAGTTGGGAGGGGAAAAAGGCCAAGTATATGATACACACATACCTGCTGGGCTACAGGCTCCAAGATGCTTTCAATGGTCCTCGTGTGAAACACCGGCATGGTGACAAATATACCGTTATCCCTCCCGGTCTCACCTCCACAATACTCCTCTCGGCAACTTCCTTCGTTTTCTGGAAGAGGTAGGAAATGTGTCGGTATGAGTCAACATGCGGCCCCCGCACTCTCCTATGTGTACAGGACAGCCTCCACAAACGCTGACCTGCGATCTGTTTCAGGGCCGCCCCGAGGTGTCCATTTCACAAACAGCAAAAATTAGATCAAGGCCGGCAAATAAACTGTGACCAATCAATTTTCCGGTCAAAGAAATCGTGGTTATTAAAGATTTCACGCCTCCAAGTGTCGTGGTGAACAGTTTATCGTCTCCACGATCGAGTTAACGAAGGTTTTCGTATTTATTTTGCTGGTCGTGAAACCTACACGTTGAGAGAAGTGCCGCATTCCTGTCATTGCTGAGATGGTTTATTTCGGCACAGGAAAAGGGGAGGTCCAAGATTTATAAATTCTGTTTCTTCATTCCGATACCCGTTTGTTTTCACATATGACGATATCTATATCAAGAGAAGGGTATTTTAAAACTAGAAGTTGGAAAATGGCTGCAGATAAGCAATAAGTGACATTGTTTACAGATCAACTCGATAGCGACACGCCCTCCAATTTGAGACCAAGTGAAAAGGTCCACCCCGGAAGGGTGAAAGTTATCATCACAGCTTGACGCGTGAGAAATATCACGTATTCTAAACATCAGACACCGTTTCACACCTCGATTTTGTCCTCGACTGCCGTGAATGATACAGTGACTTCAGTAAAGAAAGACCTAGCGAACGTGTAAAATGGGGAAACCCTAAAAGCAAAACATTTCGATCTCGAGTCTGCGTCGACGCCCGCAGGATTCTAGCGCCACATTGTCTCAATCTTTGTCGCAGGCATCAATAAACGTTTCCCCAAATGCCCACAGTTCCCTTCTCTAGACTCAAATATAGATCGGAAAACATATACGTACCGAGTTCTTCAAGATAAACACAGGAAACCAGTTGAAGTGATGCGAGTGTCGACCTTCCTGTGGGCCCACCTCCCCATATGAGCGTCAGGTCATAGGTCGGAGGTAACGCCAGGTCACCAGCTGGCGAAGATCACATTCGTGTGGACCATGGCTGACAAGGAGTGTCGGGGAGAAACCGTGTGGGTACAACAACAGATCCGACTGACGGACAGGGGCCGGGGATGTCACCACATCACACCAGACGTGGAGCAAGCTCTGGAGCAGACCATGGGCCTCAGGAAGTTTGACGTCGGCGTGGCGCACATCTTCCGTAAGCGAACGATTTTTTCAGACCTTGTAACGTTGAAAATTATGCTCACTTCCGCATTTGGGTATGTACTAGTATATCAAGATGTATAACAATGTGACAGAAAGAAAGAATCTCCTCGCTATCACTAATTTTAAGCATATGCATAAAGACTGTCTTAAGGTCATTATGCTATGTCTATATTAATGTAATGAACTTATATTTGAACGGAAGAAACTGCCACGTAGGTTTGTTTACTTCTGTTCCTGCCTTTAAATTGAACAATGTCTGAATATTCAACAACATTTAAAAAGAAAAATAAGATATTTTTATGGGAAATTAAAAGAAAATAGCGTTTTATATGAATAAGTTTCGCCCAACCCATGAGACAAATTCCAGTTCCGTCCCAAAATGGTACAAACCAAAATTCCTCCATCCATTTAGGATTGCTGGATTTGCCCATATGGACATATGACCTTTCCCGGCATCTCTCTAATAGCCTGTGTTCTGCGAGAGCATTTTACTCAATAGTTTTTGTCGAACCATTAATAAAATCAGCATGAAGAAATTTAGCAAATTTTTTTTTGTCATTGCTTCCTTGATAGCCCTGCAGGCACATGTATACTAGTATCACACACCAATACATGTATATCACAAAGTCATTAAGTGCAAATGCAATTCACACCTGTCATTGCCTGTCACTTCATTCCATTTCTGTCACCTTTTTCCTTTCATGCTTTCTAGTTCAAGCTTCCAGTGCTAGTCTTGCACTATCTGATGTAAGTTACTGCTCACAACTTTTTTCTGTGCTTCCCTCCATAACATGCAACAAACTTTGTCTTCATCCTTGATTTTTGATAGTCTCCACCAGACTTCTTTTGCGGGGTGAATAAGAAGCTCCAGCTTCTCTGGCCGGCTACCGGCCTAAAAGGGTATTAATTGGCCAGAGAAAGTAGCCGGCCAGAGAAGCTGGAGCTTCTTATTCACCCCGCAAAAGAAGTCTGGTGGAGACTAGCTTTTTGAGAAGATTGGAACTTTTGTCACATTTTGTCATCATATTTTACATCTTCTGAAATACCTTTTGTTATTTTTGGGAGGATACGTTTCTAATGATATTTGCTTCTATATTTCTGTTCACAGAGATTTGACCCAGCAGCAAGGTAGGCAAAGTTCTGATTTGGCTTGTTGTGACATTGACAATTCCTTTAACAGTGTGCTTTGGAGTCAAAATGTATTTTCAGAGTACTGAACCCTTTATCCTTATCTGTAGATATGACACAGAGGCTGCTCTGAGTTCTCTGATACCTGAGAAGTCAGATATATGGACTCGCATCTGTGAAGGTTCTGACGATATGGTGAGTATACCATATAAAGACATATTCCCCTGTAGTTTTCACACAGACCACTAGGGGCATCTCTAAGCAGTGCTCAAAATGCCACCTTCTCTATCAAAATTTTTAGTTTTTAGCAAAATTGCTGTGTCCATGATCCAAAGAACATTTTCTTTTTACACACAAAGCTGGTAGTTCTGTTGCTTTGTAAAAACTGATATCTCTTAAATATTTCTGTGAATCCATGTCACCTCCAGCCTGCCCTGGTAAAGAATTGCCTGGTTGGCTGCAGTCTGTCCATCCCCATAACTAGTGGGATCCTCAACACTGGGCATGGACAAGGCATCTGGCTCCTGGAGCACAAGAACTTTGGAGGTACATGTAAATGTTTGTGCATTGACAAGACCATTTGTTAGTGCATGGATGTAAAAACTGTTCCACACTTTGCAAAGATTAAAGACGCGCGGAGGAGCGGAGACGTGAGGCATCCGTACGTGAACTCAGGAGGGTGATGGCGGATGACACTCACCCTTGCCAGCAGTTCCTTGAGCCGGGTAGACGGACAACCTACCAACTACGCCGTCAGACTTCCAGCTACAAGATACCACTTAGCCGTACAGAGAGACATAGACAATCATTTATCCCCAGATCACTCAACATCTTGCAGCAGTGAGGGACACTATAGACTTTTTAAAATCTGAAGGACACTATAGACTTTTATAAAAAATTTTATTGCCTCCTTGTATTTGTATTCTTAAGTTGTTCCACTCAATTATTGTCTATATTTTAATGTGTTATCGATATTTTATACAATACGTCATTATCGGATATTTCTTTTAACACTAAATCTTTTTAACGCTAAAATGTTACAATTGTTATTATTAATATGGAATTACATGTGACTTGCAACACAATTCAGGCTGTTTCAGCCTGCAATGTTGTTTTGATGAATAAAGTTTCAAAAAGTTTCAAAAGTAAGACCCATCAGGAGAAAGTTTTTTAGTTTTTTTTTATTTACTTCAGAATTCACCTCAAAACAAGGCTTGTGAGAGCCACTTACGTGTTTTGGGTTACAGTGATGACTGCGTGGTCAGATATTTGTTCACCCTTGATTTAAACCGTTGGAGGTTGTAATTAGCGGTGAAACATTCACGGGGAAGCTTGTTCCACAGTGAAGTGGTTCTGGGGAAGAAACTGTCAGCATGAAATTTTCTCTTGACTGATGGACTATTGAGGAAGAAAGGGTGATTTTCTGCTGTTGAGGTGGCTAAGCGTAGCCTGGGTACCATCCCCAGTAGTATATTCGCAAACTCTATAACTGGGTCTGGACTTGCACACATATGTAGCGTCTGGAGTCTAAATATTCGTTCAGATTTTGAACGAGCGCGCTGATTGGTCCTACTCGTCTAAGCCCTTTTTTGGGTGTGTACATATTAGGTAAGGGCTGTTCGGATGTCCGAACGGCGACGTTAGTCCGTTCGAACGTCCGAACGCCTTATCATCAACATGTCCGACGGCGAACCGAACGCTAAAGCACACATGATATAGCCGTAGTCAGTCTTTCCGCGATAAATCATCAACATGGCTGACGCACAAGCCGCTCAGCTCACGGAGGTTGATGTTGACCTCGCAATCACTTTCGTTTTGGACGATTTAGACGAAATATCGTCGCTCAAAAATGAGCAAAAAGATGCATTGAATAGTTTCGTTCGTGATGTTTTGGGCGTCCTACCGGTAAAAAAAAGAACGCGCCGAGAAAAGGAACGCTCGCACGAAGATCTGTGTTTACAAAACAACAAACATCACTTGAATAATGCAGGCGCGACATTGGCCGTCGCCTCTGAGGCTTAGCCAATCAAAGGAAGCCCCGCTGCTCGGGCTAGCTCATTACGTGACGTCATGACCAATCGTTTTATATGTGTGCAAGTCCAGACCCAGTTATAGAGTTTGCGAATATACTACTGGGGATGGTACCCAGGCTAGGCTAAGCGTGTTCTTGCAGAGAATGTTCTGAGTGGGGGTACGAGGGAGTGAAGTTCAGCAGAGCATCTGCCGTGGAAATATCGATATAGTAACGCCAGGCTAGCAACATCGCGCCGGTGTGAAAGCGGTTGTAACGTGGCGTGCAGGTCTCTCCCAACGAGATTTCGCAAACGATTTTGGACCCTATCTAAACAGCTCAACGAGCTCTGTGCAGCTCCAGCCCAGATGTGACAACAGTATTCCATTTTTGGACGGATTTGGCTCTTATACAGATACAAGATGGCAGAAGGAGTTAGGTACTTTCTGGTGCGGTACAATGACCCTACCATCTTACCAGCCTCCTTGGCAACAGACTGGATGTAATTGTTCCACTTGAGGTCATATGTGAGTTTGAGGCCCAAAAGGCTATCGAGGCATGCTGATTCTTTTAGCCCTGTCTCCCCCATATGGACAGGAGGAAGTTTCGGATCAGATCTCTTATGATGGAAAGAGAGAAGCTTTGTTTTGGACGGATTAAAGGTCACAAGCCACTGATTCCCCCACTGAACAGTGCGTTCAAGGTCAGCGGAGAGGTCAGCGGCGAGGGAGTCGTTATTATCCTATTCTCCCAAGTTACATTGAACAGTTAGAAGCAGCTTACATTGAGTACAGTATATATGCAGGTATCCTTTCACTGAGACACGTTTACAATCTACTCAGTGTTGTTTTAGAAGTATGATCTGCGAGGCTGTACAGCCATGAATGAAGTGCTTATTTCACCACCTGATCACCTTCCATCCCTTCCCTCCCTCCCAGGTGGCAGGAAACTGGTGATCACAGTCCAGGGCATGTACAAGCCTACCTTCAACAAGCCTCTTGGGACTCTGGGTCTATAGTTCATCACATGCTGCAGCTAATACATGATTCATTTTCTTCCAAGTGTTTCATACAAATGGCAATCAACAGTAAATATATAAACTATGTTATAGACGGATGTAGCCTTGCCAAAGTATCATAGCCATATTGTTTTCTTACAAATAAAGTTTGATTCCAATCTGTTTTCAAATGTTTGTGTTCACTGTGTAGATGTGAAGACTAAGTAAAAAACTACCCTGGGCAAAGTCTGACACTAGAATCAGAGTATTTTATTGATGAGCATAAAAGATAGAGCTTTCCTGACAACAATGGTAATGCATATCATCCTTACAAAATAATTAAAATACATGTAGCTTTCACCATGTTAATCATTATCTTGGAATATCATACTGTTTTGTTTGAGTGTCCTCCAAATAGATAATGTGATCAGTGGTTAGGACTGCTTGCTTCATCTTGTACTTGTATTTGTCTTCTTTATGAAACAACATTCAGTCACAAATACTATACAGATGCAACATGATTACAGAATCCTATTCCCCCAAGTCAATATCCTCATGTAGGAGTACTACCTACCCTTCACTGTATTTATTGATATTAAGGGGGCACACCCCAGTTTATTTTGGGTCTCAATTCGAATCTGCATACTATTCTAGCGACCATCTCTTTCAGGAAATAGCTCTTAAGCCAAAACAATGTGTTTGCAAATGAAGGATATCCCTCTAGCTACGAGAACAATAGAATTTCAATTTCTCTCACCTCTCACATTTTAGTAAATTTTAGGGGGAAAAAAATTCTTTGATGAAAAATGATGCAAAAAATTGGCCATTTTCACGTGTAATTAGACCCATCACCCAGAATTTAGCCACCAATATGACTTATATGGTCGGAAAGAGAAAACCCTTATGTATTATCAAGAAGAGTATAAAGAAAATCCTAACACTGAGATTATCACAATAGCCCGTCACGCTCAAGGTGGAAGGACACCCGGGCCCAAAATCAATTTTCACCCAAAACACGGCACTTATTACACTTTCCAGCCAGATACTAGATACAATGTAATACTATTTTGCAGCAGATTATGAGAAATGTAAACTCAAACATGAACCAACAGAATCCCTTCGTCACTTTTTTTCCGGGCACTACCTCGGACCCCTGTCGCAAAAGAATTGGTGTGTGCACCGTTAAGAATTATGCATAGCCTACATGTAGCAAAATTACAGACATGTGTCCGTAGTGTCCTTCCCTTTCTTTTCAGAAACAATAAGCTCCCTTTGATTGAAAAATTTGGAATGAAGATTGGAAGACAATCATGAATATGGTAACAGTAAGTACTTTGCTGGTGCCCCCCTCCCCCCCAGACTCCTGTTTTACAAGTACACATCAGGTCAGTCAGAAGGACTTCACTGGTACATGTACCATGGCTTCTTCCGGGCCCAGCGAAGCGTGATGCCTGCGTCTGTGCGGATCTTGATGGAGGCTGCCTTGGCCTTGCGTACGGTCTCCTTCACAGACTGCATGAGGTTACGGGCATAGTGGACCAACATCTCAGTCGCCTGGTCCACTTCTTTACTGTCTACATCTGGAAAATAGTAAAAACATCTTATCAGGATACAAGTAGATTTACTTGTCTTCAAATCAGTACAAGAAAAGGTGCTAACCGGTGCACCAATACAGCAGGATTTCTACTTCATTTAAATGATAAGTAAAAAAATGTTTTCAAAATTCAATATCATACAAGACAATGTTGTGAGAAACTATTGACATGTACCTTCATAGAAGGCATTCATAGAAGCTAACGCCATAAAAATATTACATAAAATTTACACTGAAAGCAATGGCCAAACTACTGATGCAGGAATGCACATCAGGAATGACAAATGGTGCATGAGCAGAAGCATGTTTGGGACAAGACACACATGTACAACAAATACACAATGACAATGGCTCTGGATTGTATGCTAAAGTAAAGGCAGCAAAACAACGTGGAAGGGAACAACCTGTATTGGAATGTTCAGTGTTGAAAAGGACACACAGGAGAATCAAATGGAAAAATTCTCATAAACAGTGGACAGAAAGGAAACATGTATTACTACATGTGCACTGACATATATGAAGAATGAAGAAGAGATGAAATGTTAGTGACACAAAAGACTGATGGAACCACATACACAAGACAACATTAGGCTTACCACAAAGAATCAGGTATTTAATCAGGGAAAGAAGAGAGCAAGTTTTGTCAGTTGCACAAGAACAGGTTGTGAGTGTAAGGTTACTTGGTACAATACCAGGGGGAAGTGTAATAACTAGGAACAAGAGGAGTTAAGAATTTTAAAGCATGAATAGAGTGCATTGTGTAAGGGTGTCAGTAATGTGTTGAACAGACATTTGGATTAGATTATTTTGTAAGAAACTATGTAGTTTATGATGTGGACTGCTACCTACATGTAAATTAATAACCTAATCTATGATAAGTATGCATGTAGTTGGTGCATGAAATACTCATGTCCATACTGATTGTCTAGTTGTTTTTCTAACATACATGTATGAACAAGCCTGACAATTTGCTATTCAATAAATAAAGATAACGGTATAATGGAGGTAAGTGACTATGTACAGGTTAATTAGCTACACGTATGAGACTAAGTCTTGCATAGAAGCAACAGGCTGGCTGGTAGCAACACAAAGTTATGGTTTGTCATAGAGTGATTTCTTACTTGACTGTCCAATCATAGTGGCCTTGACTGTGGACAGGATCTTCAGCTGTGTGCTGATGGTGGGGATACGCTCACAAACCTGCAGTAGGTTCTGTAGAGGGCGAGGAAACATTATGTAAGCAAAAAGAAAAATATTGTATATGCAAGTAAGTGGGTGAAGGATAGACATCCAGGTACATGTATTAAGATATGCCAAAAACAGATACAAATTGTGGCACTGACGAAAGGAAATGCATGCCAACTGAAATGTTACCATTTCCAAAATCATATCCAGTTTGCTTGTCAATGAGTAACTGTTTTTGGGAACACTGAGCATACATTGTGTTTTTAGAACACATTCCTCTTTTCTGATGGCCTTTCACAGTACAAATACATACTATGCTGAAAATAGAGGTAGATGTGTAAGAGGAAATAACTAAAGCATCACCTAGTATAGCAGTACTTCTTTGAATCATGCAGAGACTATAGTAAGTTATCCACAATTAAGACATCCATAAAGTTACCGTTCGTATCCTCTTGTCTGTCGACTGTTCAGCAACTTCCTTGGCCAATCGCATGACCTTGTCAGCGACCAAAGCAATCTCCTTCGCAACTCGGATAAGGTCTCTCTTGTTACCACCTTCACCTCTGAAGCAGCATAGAGGGTACAACATTTTCTCAATATGGAGTTCAAAGAAAAGTGAAAGAATTGACACGCCTTCTTGCCTGACACTGTTAACAATTCACATTAATTAATTTTGGAGTCACAATTGGTAGGTCATCAATGAGAAGAGGAAAATATGATAAATCAATAATATCGGTTCCTATGGCTTTGATGTATTCTTACGTATAAAAAGACTCCAGATAAAATGGCATCACAGAAATCTATTATTCTAGAAGAAACTTGAGAAATGCTTGACTGTGTGACTTGTAAGTACCTGACCAGACGACTCATCTCTGCCATAAGAAGCGCCATCTTCTTGGCTGCTGCAACAATCTCATTGCCCTTACTGGACCACTTCTGGGCTTCAAAGTGAAGCTGGTGGGCTGCAACCTAGGAAAGAAATCAGTTGGGCACTAGTTTAGCAGAAGCTCCCTCTTGTGATCATGTGACCAAGTGCACTGTGTGATGTTATGCGGGCAATCTCGCGTCTGTATTGAGCGAAAACATTTTGCTCTCACTGAAACTACCTCTGTCCCCTCCTAAAATAATTCTACTCTGCGGATGTATCGTTCAACAAATATAGCTTAATAAATAAGAGTTTTTCGCTGCCAAAAAACCGACCGTAAAGTTGGGCTGCAAATCCGACATTCTGGCGACGGCCCTTCCTACGCTGATTTTGACGGAGGTGTTTGAGTTGCTAGGGCGTTACTAAGGGGGGCGTGGCTTATGGAATGGTCTATTGTACTTATCATGACTAGATTTGATGGAAGGACGTACCATGATGGGCTGGTTGGGTTTGGGAGTAGGGAAAGCGACTTCCTCCTCCTTCTGTGCTGCAGCCAGGGCAGCTTTATCCACGACAGTGATGGCCTCACGTACACCAGCAACAGCATCTCTCAGCTGGAGGGTTCAACACACTTCAACATCAACCTTCACTCAAACAACTACATGATAGGATTGTCGCAGTTGTTTGACAAAATGATGGAATAAGATATTTTCATGTGAACATCAAGGGGTATAATCTGCTATGTATACCACTATCCAGCTTATCACCGTGTTACCAACCAATTGCAACCTCAACTGTGTACAGGCATGTATTGCATCACTTTACATCGTATTTTCATTAGTGTAAATCACCGTATCCATTTTCCCGGGTAACCTTTTTGCACTCTCCTGTTGGAGAAGAAATGCAAAGTAACAATGCTCTTCACAAATATTCTCATTCAATAGTGACAGCAAACCTACCATATCCATGTAACTTATCAGTTCCCCTTTACGTTATTAGACATAGACTAGTATTTTATCATAAGGTCTGGCCTATAATATTGTACTTGTCTAGTAGATGTTCACGATAAATATCAAGACCAAGTCTATGTTGTTTAAGGATATACATGTACCAATATCAGCTAACAAGAATTCAAGAATCACATTATACCAGAATGGGCACCTACCTTTGTGTTCGAATCAAAGTATCTGCCTTGGGAGTTTGGGTCATTGGGGTTGATGGCCACAGATTTGGTATCCTGTACTATAGCACTGATAGCTAATGAGCAGAAATGGTTGAAACACAGTAAGTCATCTGTAAATTATCAGTGCACAGTGAATCATGTAACACCTAGCTTCAGTGCACAGTAAACCATGTAACAACTACACACAGCTCCAGTGCACAGTGAACCATGTAACACCTAGCTCCATGGCCAGTGCACAGTGAACCATGTAACACCTAGCTCCAGTGCACAGTGAACCATGTAACACCTAGCTTCAGTGCACAGTAAACCATGTAACAACTACATGCAGCTCCCAGTGCACAGTGAACCATGTAACACCTAGCTCCATGGCCAGTGCACAGTGAACCATGTAAAACCTAGCTCCAGTGCACAGTAAACATGTAACACCTACATTGTAGCTCCAGGGTATTAGATGCACTGACATGGTGGGGAGTGCACTGTACCCTTAATGTCTCCTCAGGTGCAGTAGTACGGCTTCCTTTCTATTAAAAAAAGCCATCACTGGAATCAATAAAGCTTTATGGTTACATTCATTACAATCTTCTGTGAATGGTCAGAGACAGTTGCTTACATCTTGAGAGTGTGTCCGTTGCATCGTTCACCCTGTCCACGAACTTGGGGTCCTCGGAGTTCTCAGCTTCCCGTTCGGCGACCATCTTGACACGGGTGGCACGGCGGGCAATGTTAGAGATACCTTTCACCACACTCTGTAACATTTCAGGCAACCTTTAGTGTTTGAAAGTTCTTTTTTGGGGGGTAAAACTTTTATCTAGTAAACTACAGTTTATATTGGTTTGGTAAATAACAATATGAAAAGCACACAGTCATACATTGCCATTAGTTTTGCACATTTCTCAGTAAATAAAATGAAATGTGGCATGCACTATGAAATGTTTGCATTTAATGGTTTGCAATAGCAGGCACAACATGATTAGGTGTTTTACCTGGACTTGCACATTCCTGATGGCAACTTTAACCATTTCACTGTCACGAGCATTGGCCTCCTCTGTAAAAGTGCAAGTGAATAGCATTGTAAAAAGGTTACCGATGACTAAGAAAATGATCTTCAAAGGTCATGTACCAACCACACCAATACTAAAACTTGCATCTGTCTCCAGCTTACTTCTTCCTTTCATACATGGTACTAGTAAGTCCTCTGTTTTTTTAAACCCCCTCTTAAAACTACAGAATTCTAAAATGAAGTTAGTCTGTCATGAAAGCTTTTAGGATTTCTTACTTGTACAATAAAATCATACTTTTTTTACACAATTTTGGAAAATATGGATTCTGCACACTTGCAATGTTACTCCTTTTTAACAGATCAACATTGAGCGTGCAATAACCCAAGGAAACTCACCACATGCTTTGATGAATGCAACAGTGTCCACAGCATCATCCACCAGAGATGTCAGCTTGTCCATGTTGGTCATCCATTCCGTCTTCATGAATTCAAAGTGCGCTGAGATCACCTAGAGAAGCACATCCAGCAACAACATGCTTTAATGTTCTAAACCTTTAGATGTAGAAGGGTTACATAATTATGTGTAATACTATCCATTCTTCTGTAAACACAAACAGACACCGCAACTCTACATTCATATTCTATCACAGAATTGTTGGTTATGGAAGCAGTAAAATGGCATGTCAGTTAGTAATACAGGCAATTTAGGTGACAGAGCAAGGAGAGTTGAAGACAGATCTTAACATAGCATTATAAGATTTGAGGTTGTCTGAAGAATAGAGAATGGGTTACTATCTGTTCTAAGGTTTCTAACAAAATTGCCACTCTTCACTTCTACAAAGAAAACTACAGCAACATCAAACAAACTTAAAACATGTAAAAGTAAACCACACTTTTTCCTACTTTTTCTACTAGATTATGAGAAGGACTACAGACATTTTGTTTGGTTCTGTTTTTAAAACTGAGGGAAAGCCATGCTAATATGTAACTTGTCACAGGTTCAACAAAACACCATTTTCTTCAACAAAACATGCTTTTGTCAAAAGCATAACAATGTACAATGTATTGCTGCATATCTACATTATACATGTGACTGTACAGAGCAAAGTTTGGGGCACTGGCAAAACACAATTAAACTCCATCCACCAAAACTATGCACAAACAATGCCACTGCAGATAGAGTAAGGCAAGAACAAAAAGAGGAAAGTAGGAGACAAATAGGAAAAGGAATTTCAGAAGACTCTCGGTGGAGGTTGAACCCGCTAGACTAGTAGGAAGAGGAGAACAAGGAAGGGAGAGAGACATGTAATAGAGAAGTGATACCATGAGACTTGAGGCTAGCTGTGTGCACGTGTGTTAGGTAGCAGCAATGTAAGTGAGCAAACAACTGTCATGTATGGCTTTTAGCTTGGCTGTTAAGATTTCAACAAAGCAACAAAATACATGAAATGTTACAGTAACTTTGCACAAAGAAATAGGAATGCTAGAAGTGGGATAATAAAAGGGTATGGTAGAATATGACTGTTGGAGTCCAGCATCTATCAAAAATTGTGCATGGTTCTTTTTAAAAGCTCAAAGTGATCAAATTGAGGCCAACATGGTGAGCAATTGCCGACAGTCTGAAATAGTGCCCTGGCTCCTGACACAATAACATCAGAATCTGCACACTACCCAATGTTTTCATGCCACAAAGCTAGGAGGTGAGTTATTGCACAAAATAAAAACAGACTGTGGATTCTTTTAACTGATGAGATTTGATGCACGGTGCAAAATGATTTATGAAAAATTAGTGAAAATTTTTTTGAATAGTATAGAAGATGGTGCAATGTTTTACTGAGGGTTATGTCTATGGCAGATTACTCAGAAATAACAAACTACAATCAGAGAGAAAAGTTGTGAGAAATGCTTGTGGCTAGCAAACAAAATATAGAGGCTCCAAGTGCAAGTGGAGTTCACTAAGCAGCTCCCCCTACCTTATCGACTGGAGCGAACAGCAGGATTTTTCCAGCATAGATGATTTGTGGGGTCAGGTCTCGGATCTGGAGAGCAAAATAAACAATTTGAAACCAGATTGTGTGTACCTACATATAACTGTTGAGCATTTGATGCCTGTGACAAAAATAACGGTATATTTCCTCATTAGCCAGAAGATCTATAAAATCAGAATGGAACATCAAGTTCCTTCTAATTCCAATTCTAATTCTGAACTGTAATGACAGAAAGTTCTTTGTAACAGTTACTTTGAAACTTTATTTGAATTACCATTAGTCTTCCTGGTATTCACATAATTATGTACAATACTGTACTCAACACAGTAACATACAACAAAATAACAGTTACAACAATACAATTATTGAAAAAAAAATCCAATTGCACAAGTTCAGGATATGGAGATGTTCGTAAAGTCTGTCTATAAAGGACCTTGAGGACTGTGTGGACTGCAAAACAAGTGGAAGGTCATTCCACAGTGTCACTCTTACTGCCCTGTACGTGAAACACTTACACTTCTTCAAAGTGTTCGTTCTGGGTTTGTCTAATGTAAAAGATGGCCTAGAAGTAAAGCGAAATGATACTGACCACCCCAGCAGTGCTCTTGATGCCCTCCAGTGTCTTCTTGTTCTGACAGCTGCCAGCATCAGCCACACGGCCGGCAGTCTGGGTCAGCAGGGCTGAGTGTTGGTCAAAGTTTCCTGCCTTGTCGCCAAACTCTGGCTCTCGGTTAGGTGCATCTAGTAACAAACCAACATGCATTTTTGTAGTTGTTATCCTTTGTTTCTTTGAGATACTTCTGCTCGTAACTTTCTCAGCAAATACGCCAAAAAGCAGTTACTAAAAGCAACTGGATATGATTTTGAAAACGGTCAGATGTTTCAGGTAGCATCCACTACCTTTCATCAGTTATTATAGTGTCACTGACGAAAGGTAGCCGTCTGACTTTCGAAAACTATATCCAGTTGCTCGAGTAACTGCTTTTTGGCATATTTTATTACCTGAATGTCTAACCTTCACAGACATTTCTCAGCATTTAATCTTTCCTGGTAATCATAAATTGTTAATAATTGCATAGTTAATAGTTGGTATTTTATAGGGCAGTTAACACTTTACCAGAAGACCAATTTTTCATACTTAGTGAACATAATGTTACCGACAATAAATACTGTAAATCACTTTATATTTGCAGTCCTTTCATATTCACGCTTCTGTACCTCAAATTTATCATTACCATGAACATATAATTTTCTTTCTTCTGCATCTGCCGCCACCGTGAAAATACAGTTTTGCAACATGTCCATTTTTCTCAGCCTGCAAAGTTTTGCAACTGCAAATATAAAGGGATTCACAGTACAACCAAAGGAAGTTGGTTCAACTTCATGTGTAACCTCTGACCTGCTGGAGCATGGGCAGCATTGCTGAGCTGCTTGTGTGCAGTTGTGGTGTCCATGAACACATCTGCAATCTGCTTCACTAGAGTATCATCCATCTTCTTCCTTAGGTCGTTCAACTTCTCCTGCACGGTACGTGCCAGCTCCTGGGCCTCTGGACTGTCTCCCTGCAAAGAAAAAACAGGTGAAATTCAGGCAAATAATACTGGAAAAAAAAACAGAACATTGGATATTTTAGCCTCTAGGAAAAGGTAATGTTCTTTTTTGACGTATCTAAATGTCAATCACAGATGATAAACCGGATAGAGAGACAATCACTCACTCTCTCACTATCTGATTTAGCATCAGTTGTTCCCTGTCTTCTGAGAGTCAGACATGCTTGCACAGATCGATGCCAATATTCCTTAATTTTGTTACACATTATAATCCTTCCCTATTGCTCGGTGTTACCAGTAGTACACTTTTGTTCACAATTCATAGATCCTATCATAATATTCCAAACCCTTTTTTGTTTTAGTCTAAACTATTAACAATATCTGTGGGCCTTAAATACTGTCACAGAGAATGCAGGGCTCAAAGTACTGGGTGTGCACATGTGCACCCAAATTTGGAGTTGTGCCCCCCATATTTTAATAGGTTTACGTATGTGAAGATGTTAAATGTACTGTAATATACATGTACAGCATATTATTAACATCTAAGTGTCATAAAGATAATTATTGAAGATTTTTTTTATGAAACATAATTAGTTTTTGGTGACATTCTACTTTTTTCTATTTCATTTGGTGAACTCACAAAAAATTTGTGCACCCTATTTTTTGGGTTGGGTGCACCAGTGCACCTATTCCCAAAAATGAATTTCTAGCCCTGGAATCGGTCCCTCTTCTTTTTACAAAGGTTTTTCACCTTGCCCTGGTTGACGAGGTCAGCCAGCTGCCTGGTTAGCCTCTCCACAGAGTCACACTTCCTCAGCAGGTCCGACCTGTCCGGCTCCTGGCACGTCTGAGCCAGCTTCCTCCCCTCCCTCACCAGCTCATGCACCGCCTGTTGACCTGTTGAGATTCAGGTTAGCACAGACATTAGTTACTACGACTGCAGCTTTCTCCAGGATCTCTAGAGCAATAAAGTAAACTTTTAACTTAAACATTATACTTCTGGTGGCTTTCTATTATCAAGGGCATGTTGATTTGATTATATGGATGACATCTGCACACGAATGAATTTTTGTCCATTTCCAACAAAAAAGGTAAAAAAAAAGGTTTCGCCCATATTGTGAATTGTACAAAGTACACAATGACATGTAGATGCAAAATGAGCAAATGTATGCCTTAAATTGACAAAAATGTTGGAAAATGCCAAAATTCATTCCAAAGGACAAGAAGAAAATGGAAGGAATGAAAATGAAGTTTATCATTCACCATGCCAATAAATATTACTCTGTGTGTTTAGTCATTTGTACAACCTTCATGACCACCTAGATTTCATAATGAAGGCCAATTTTTTTTTGCAAAACTTTTTTTTCATTTGCACACTTGGGGTTCACAGAGAATGCCATACATATAATCAAATCAACATTGCCTAACTACATTGTACAATTTTTCCCTTTAAACAAGACTCATGTGAACAATTAACTCACATTTGGGTTACAATAAGGGACTGAAAGATGTCTTATCACCTAAATGGGGAGAAATTGTAGATAAGTCATTAACCCTTATAGCTTTTTGACAGGTCAACTTGAGATCATCATCATGGCTAAGGTTAAATTTCATGTTTAGTGAGGGGGGGGGCAATGTTGACATTTGGTTAAGGTTTCAGATTTTTTATTTCTTCCACTGAGTTACAATGTAAACAAGCTAAAAATAGAAAACTCATTACCTAGTCCCTTGTCATCCATGGCTGGTGCACTCAGCCAGATCATGGCCTGTTCCATCTTGCCAGCGATGGTGGGGGCCGGCTTCCTGATGCCGCTCTGCTGGAAGTTGGACACGGCCTGCTGCACACGTTTGTCCATGTCCATCAGCGGCTTGATGATCTGTCTGGACAGGTTGATAGCCTCAGGAGAGCTTCCCTGTGGAAAAGTAGTTTGTTTTGATTAGCTGCGATCTCCTAGAAATTTGTATCAGATTCAAAGTTACGGTAACAATATGTCCACAAGTTCCATAGATTTCAGTACTTGGGACATTTAATGTTATCTGTCAAAAACTACATAGCATGTCTTGATAATTCACTCACTCACTCACTGCGATCTGTACAATATTTACCGAGGAAGGAGGCGGCAGTTGTCCGGGGGTAGCGAAAAATTGTTTTGCCTAGGCCTGGTAGGAATCATACATTCAAGTGAAATTTCGTATCGGGGAGGGCGAGATTTTGATTGAACAATTTCCCCGTGTCAAACGCTGAAGGTGAAAGTCGATGCGTCGCAGGCACCACGTCAACCCTCTGAAACGCAATATTTTGCTTGTTAAGGGACAAATTTGCAACGCTATTAAAGTCAATGTTTTCAAAGTTTTCCTGACTATCTAGTCTACCTTTCATCCACGAACCTCTTCCGCGTGATATTTATCACAACCATGGAAACCATCTTGCCAAGTTACGTGTTATTTTCAATTAACGTTGGAGGCAAATTAATGTTGAGATTGCCCTTGGTTAAATCAAAAAACATGTACCAAATGCGGCATTCAAGCTGAGAAGTTCAAACAAGTTGCGAGGTGGGTCCAACAGGACCTTTGCCGACGCACGTAACGTTACAATTTTATACAAAAAAAGTACCGTTGTGGCTGGGAAGGGAGCGTTGCACGGCAAAAAGTTCTTCAGAATCTGTCAAAAAGCCCTCGCTACATTTTTAATTGATATCGTTTTGATGGCGACTACGAAACACGGCTTTAATTCATGTACTGGCTGTGTAGTCGAGTTTCATCGCTTCTTGGTGAAAATGCAAGATTTCTAAGTGGATTGTGGGAGGTATGAGCGAGTCCACTAGAATAATAGGGATGGATATTATTGGAATGTAACATTCTGCCGTTCCAATGACTGGCAAATCGCTATGATACGCACGTAAATCATGTTTTGAAATTGTATAAAAACGCTGGAGACTTCAATGGATCTTGGAAAAAATTATTCCTAGGCCCTCCCCCGAATTTAAATATTTTTTTCCTAGGCCCTTCCCCCTCAGACGACTGCCTCCTGGTAAATATAGTACAGTCCCTAACCTGACATGAATAACAGGTGGTTAAACAGTATTAACAAGAATTACAATCTACAAAACAAGTATCAAAATCTGCCAAAAAAAGTACTAGAAGAAATATCAGTTTTACACCTCACGGCAGACTGAAAATGACATGATAACAATGAGTCAATGAATTTAACATTCTTCCATGTTGCTAAAGGTTGTTTTGTCTTACCAGTCCCCTGGCCCTTAAGTTTGACAGCTGGTCCACCATGGCTGTCAGCTCCCTACACAGCCTGAGGATCTCATCTCTCTCTGGACCAACACATCGCTCACCGATCCTCCGCGCATCTTCCATGATTTGTCTCAGTGAATATTTCTCACCTGGACATGGGCACAAGATTGGTGGCATGGCAGGGTTTGAACCCGGGACCTCTTGGTTCCAAGACAAACACTCTACCATTACGCGACACGACCCCACCTCATTTACAATCAGTGGTTAATGAAAGTAGAGGAGAAATGGTATCAGCAAAGAGCAATGTTCTTGAAGTTCCAGGAAAACCACTTGAATCTTAGAGCATGAAAACCACCACACCTACCTATGGACGAGCCGGCTTCTGCGTCGGGGTTCTGTAGCCAATCCCTGGCCGGCTTCAGCCGAAACATGAAGCTGGCCAGGGCCTTCTTCATCACGGTCATGTCATCGGCATCGTAGCTGTCTTCGTCGTACGTTGTCAGCTGCAGGACGCGGATGATCTCGATGATCTCGGCCAATATCCTATTCACCAAGTAGTTGCGGTTCGCTAAGGCCTCAGCGCGTGGACTATTCTTATCTGTGGTCAAAATCACACAGTGAGGCCTAGGGAAAAAATGTTGTGCTTTCTGTTTCCCGACTGATCCTTAGAAAACCTGCCAACCCTAGACGTTTTTTTTTGACCCTATATAGATATCACAAAAAAGATAATCCCTACATACCCATCCTAATATTTTCAGGACTGAAGCATTTTTTCCTAGGCATGAGGTCAGATGTACTGTTCAAGGCACAGATCAATGATGTTTGCAAACAGTCCCATGTGTAACACCAGATATAACAAAGACAGCTTTAAACGCATCCAATGCGATTTCAGGGTGGCAAAACAAGAAATATTCTGGATGAGAAAATCTGTTTGATACTGACATTTACTGCTATTTCAAACTCTTTATTTTTGGGTACCACCCATAAATAGCTAGAACCAGCCTACGATACATAACAAGCAGCCATTTTCAGTCAGTGACATCACATTTTTGCCTCACAGATATCAGAATGGTATGGGATATGGTTAATTCAACTTATTACATTAAAAGAATAAGAAAATTGTGTCATTTTGGATGTCTTCTTTGGTCTACCACGACCCCTATTGCCTGGCTAGTTTCTGCCCTGAAATTGCATTGGAAGCCTTTAACTGTTTCTGACTACTGACTACTGACCTTTCAGTATGGAGATATAGGCCCTCATGACGTTGGGGAAGGCAGTTACCAGGTGCTTCACCACCTGGAGGGAGTGGGCCAGGCTCTCCCTGTGCTGCTGGTGAGTCAGATCCTCAGAACGGGCGTCCATCTTCTTAGCCATATTGAGTAAACCAGGGAACAGGTTCTGAAAATATAAGTATTTTGAATGAGGGTCAATCATGTGGTGTGATGTTAGGGCATTTGGCCCGGAACCCATGGGCCCTGGGTTCAATTCCACGTACATGTATGTGCCCTGATGTTGTGCCTTTGGGACTTTACACAATGCTCCTCATTTCACTCAGAAGAAAAGGCATTAGACACAACTTTCCTCATTTCACTCAGGTGAAACTGAGTATCTACATTTGGTTAGGGACGTCCCTTGATTAGAACATGTTTGGGAAAAGCCATACCCCACCACACCTTTTGAAAAAGAGTAGGGGCGTGCACCGGTGTGCGTTGGTACAAATACTCATTGTCTGGAGGTTGGTAATTCACTTCAAATCATCAGACAGAGGCTAGGCGAACACTAACTTTTATCAGCCTCATGCATGGTGATTTACGTCGTATTTTTATTCATCATTCTCTGAGGCCTGGCAAACCCTGTCTTGTGTTAAACAAAGGAAAGGGTATGGCACTCTGTAACAACATACGGTTGACTGATGATGATGCAATGACCTAGGCACACAATGTAAATCTCTTAATATCATACCTTGATAAAAGTGACCGTGTCTGGCAAACTCTTCAACACCTCAGAGACGGGCAGGTACTCCAGTACGTTCTTACACACCCTGATGATCTTACGCACCTCACCCTCGTCAAACGTCAGCAACAGCTGGGACGTCCCAGACAGAATTCCTGCAAACACAAAGGATGTGCTCCTGTCAGCCCAGTTGGGCCAAGTTCTCAAAAGGCACTTGACCAGAGCAAAATCTAACTTGTCTATTCTGTGACTGAGGCAACGGATAAAAAAAATTGCTCCACACTGCATGCATGATTGGTTTTAAAATGTGTAGCCACTATACTCCTCCTCCTGCTCATATCCAGTTTTGCGTCTGTAATGTTCCCCATCTTCCAAGGGTTAGACGAGCTTGTACAACAATGTTGTGGCTTGATGGCAGCCCACCATTTGCCTCTATCCTGTGGGTTGACATTATGTAGGTTCAAGTGATAGAAGTCTTCCCTTGCATTATCTACCGGTATCTCTTCTTTGGTCGACCACAAGGGTTTTGGCCTTCCACATCCAGTGTGATACTACATATCGGGCTCGAAATACTGGGTGCATGTGCACCAATATATTCCGTAGGATTACGTATGTAAAGATGTTCAATGTGTAAGAGCGTAGCATATTGTTAAGTTAATGACATCCACATCTTAGAAAAATAACAAAATCATTGCTTCAGTACTTTTCTTTAGAAATGAAAAATAATAATTATCATGATTTTCTGAGTCATTTTACTTACTTTATCTTATATGGTGCATCCCAAAAAAATTTTGTGCACCCAATTTTTTAGGTCAGATGCACAGGTGTACCTATTTCAAAAAATGAATTTCGGCCCTGTTAATACATTTGTAATGCATGAAGTGATTTTTTTCTACCTCGAGCACCATCTATGAGCTTCTCCCTGGCTGGTCTGGAGTAAGGATTGGCCCGCAGCATGTCAGAAGCGTCCACCAGCAGGTGTGAGGCCTCCTCCACCCTGCTGAAGGCGATGGGCATCTCCTGCTTCAGGATCTCATCTTTGCTGGTTTTTAATGTCTCCTTGCCAACCTTTGTGATGTAAAAAAAAACCCTGTCATATAACTTCATTTCTGAATCACTACAAAATTGACACCATAGTGTAAATAACTGAGTCATACCTGCTGAATTATAGAATGTAAATGATACTCAAAACAAAACACAATTATATTCTCTCAGTTCTCCTGTCCGAATAGATTAGCTTTGGTAAAATTGTAATTTTAGTGTTGCTAGTATCATTATGGATTAGCTCTTCTTGAAATGTATTCTTACTAGTGTAGTTCATGTATCTACCCTTGTTGTTTCCCCTTTGCCATACATTGTACCAGTTACAGTTGGTGAGTAATAAAGTTGACTTGATTTGATATAATCTGTACAGTACATTGTTTACAGTCATAGCAGTTTATCTGTGTTGGTAGTTACATGATTGTTTACTTTACAGGTAAAACTTTTGTTTCAACACAAAAAAGACAAATGTTCTCAACTATTATATAATAGCTTTTGACCGCAGTCATCAGTACAGTAGGCTCAGCAAGTGAGACTCGTCTCAAGTAGGTGGGAAAATTTCTCTTTTGTGTTGGAATAATAGTTAAACATTTAAGCAAATGATACACTGTTCACAGCTTAAATATCAATAAACAAACACCCCTGCAGTTCCAGAAAAAGCTGCTACCCTGGGGGCTTATGTCACTTCATCTCCAGCACAAGAGGTATCTACCATATAAATTTCGTGACCCTAGCATGTGTAGATCACGAGATATCAAAATTGGAAGTTCTGCTGCAGTACCATGACAAGCCACAAGGGGGCTTAAAATCTAATCATTTCGAGGTCTCATTAAGACCTACCCACGTACCAAATATCAAGATAATCCATGAATGCCTTCTTGAGTTATTGTGTTCAAACACACACACACACACAGACACACACACACACACAACACCTGAACGCCCGTGAAAACTTATATACCTTCTTGGCAAAGGTAATAAAGCTGACCATCAATGATGTTAGCAGAAGTTGGTAACTTTTCTGAGTTTTCAGCTTACCGCAACCAGGTTCTGTACTGCGGCACGCAGAGCCTGGACCGGTTGTGCCAGGTCCGGCATGGCATTGCCTTCTTCTGCCTCTTCATATTGAATCACTAGTTGGGAAACCTGCAGGTGTTAAAAACACAACACTTTATTTCTTTATTTATTTCTGTATTCTTTAACCAGGGTGGCACTACTCAGTGACATAGCACTGCTTTACAGAGTGGTCCTCGGTAATCACTGGGTAACACCAAATTTAGTACACTGTATGGCATAATGCGTGCAATACTAGGGATGTTATTGACAATATCTTTAACAGTCTAACTGTTACAGTGCACATTATGTCCAAATGATTGGCACCACAATTGGTCGGGTTGCTGATGTTCAGATCGGCCTAAATACTCCACAGCAGGACCGAAAACTACCTAATCTCACTATTAACCGGGCGGCCATCTTGTATATAGTCGGGAATGTCCGGTGCAGTTGGGAACGTTTGGTAGCCTTTCCGGTTATGATCGGAGTGCTTTCGGTCGCGTCTCAGTATAAATCGTGACGCTAGCGAACCCGAACGTTCCCGACGGCCCAAACGTTCCCGACGGCCGCAGCTAGCCTCCTGTGCAGGCTCCGCGGCGGGTGGAAATTTTGATACATTGATAATTTTGATACACCACGGTGCCCAGAATCGGCTCTCCGGAATGGAACCTTCTCTCGGCAGCTATGTAGGATGGCCGACTATTAAAACAACGCGTTAAAAACTCTTCAAAACGCTGTATCAAAATTCTTACTCTCCAAGCAGAGGTTGAGGGGGACTGATCATGGCTTTTTATATATGGCCATTTTTTTGGTTGCAAATCCGTCGGTGGCCAGCGACCTTCTCTGGTTAATGGGTAACTGTTTGGCCAATTTGATACTGTCTTTTTGCCACTGAAAGGGATCTGCTTGGAGATTACAAAATTCCCACCTGCCACGGAGCCTGCACAGCAGGCAAAGCCGCACCGGACATTCCCAACTATTATAGGGAAGTGGGGACAGCAAATAAAAAAACGGGGCGAAAACAGAGCATCATGCAGCCAACGGGAAATGTGCGGTTATGCCAAAGGATCTTTCCACGACTCTTGCTGAGGGTTAATGAAAGGAAAGCCCAAATCAAGAGACATTGCCACGGCTAGGAGGGGGAAAAGGCCAAGTATATGATACACACATACCTGTTGGGCTACAGGCTCCAAGATGCTTTCAATTGTCTTCGTGTGCATCGCAAAAAGACCTTGGGAACTTCCTGCGTTTTCTGGAAGAGGTATAAAATGTGTCGGTATGAGCAAGAACATTATACAGACCCTAGACCTAGACCCTAGTTGCCTATGGGCTTGAGGCCAAAAGTCATCCACATGGCTGCCTAAAGGTATTTTATTTCAGGTGCATAAATTATGATAATGAGCAGAAATTATTCACACCTAATTGTGTAAAATTATCCCGCATAGAATAAAGAAACTATACGTACATGCTTAAAAATCACCAAACAGAGTCACACAAGAGCTATATTCGTGCATAACGTTAATAGGTTATGCAATCAGTTTTGTATGATTCGTTGCAAAAAAACTATGGTGGTTTGAGGGTCAACAGGATTCTAGGAAAAGATTAATAAGCTTATCTTTAAGACAGACATTGGCATATCTTCAGTAATTCTTCTAGACTCTTCAGATCTGCAACATTAGCTAAATACGCTACATTTCTGTCTTGGAACAAATACAGGATAATCCAGCCCGTCAGAACGTCTCATACAAGGTTGTATTCGCACATATAAGGTTAACATCCCGTCTGTAGTTTCCAAATGTTAAGTCGGAAAAAATATTGTCTGCAACAGGCAAAATTCTGATGCAACGTTGACCAAAAATCAAACGAAAACCGCAAAATGCAGGGTCTGCGCAGGCGCAGTACGTTCTGCCGACGTGCTGGATAATCCCATTCTACTGAACAGAGGTAAAGTTAACAGTAATTTTACAAACTTTGTGAAATGTATATGATCTGATGGCAAATCAAAGTATGTCTTTGGAACGAAGTTATATTAACACTGTATGTAAATATGCTTTAGTTTACTTCCTTTCTTACTGAAGAAAAAGAATGAAGTTAAAAAACACATTTAACAATGGGTGTGGTCAGGAAAGATAGACATGGGAGAGGTGTGGCCTTTTTAATACAGGACGGCTTGTCTTGGCAAGAGAATAATGGACTGGTTAATGATGAAACCTTGGAGATGTTATGGTTAGAGATTAATGTACCCGGTCTAAACTGATGCTGGGTAGCTGTGTCTACAGACCACCCGGATCATCGGTGCAATTGATCCTCGGTGCCATATAAAAGATACTATTACATGTATTAAGGAAATGGCTCGATCCTTGGGGGTTAATTAATTAGATTAGGTGGTAACGTTAACTTTTATTTTTCTATTTATTGGCCAATGACTTGTTTTGCGTTTGGTTGCTCAACAGCCAACTGGTGAAAAAAAGAAAAAAAAAAGAAAGAAAGAAATTTCACAAAGTTTAAGGAATATGCAAAATTGTTGAAGTCGCAACCATTTGGAAGCGCAAGAAGGTCACCCCGGGAAGAAAGGGTTTTAGTATTAATGCAAATGTTGCCTGCATGTAAATCTCCAACACTGAAGATATCTAACGTTAGCCGTCACCGTGACATGACTCGTATAAAGACTATTGTTACTTCTTTAACAAAATGAGCGTTAGAAAACAAATACGCTCCCTTTGGTATTAAAAATGACCGTATATTCACAACAAAAAAGTTTCCGCCCCCATGAATCAACACACTCACGTCGCTTGTGGAAGTAGACGGCGGTCAGTGTGCTGGGAGATCCAATAAAGTCTTCAAACTCTGCTGAATGCACGGTGTTCACCACTCCGGACTCGGACGCCACCAGAGTCCAAGGTACGAGCAAATTAAGCAGGCAGACCAACGCAGAAGCTTTCCAACAGCCTGCTGCCATGTTTCTCCAACAGACACGAAACTGCCCCGTTTTGGCTGGCATAAAAGAAGCTACTAGCACAAGAAAAAACAAACAATAAAAACATGTCAAACATGAGCTGAAGCCTAAACATCTGTTTGGACACATAGTTCTAACCTGTGTATCTTTAAAAGTAAAAAACAGCACATGCGGAGAAAGAAAAAAACACACACCTGTCACGGAAAAACTTCAGCTCTCAAGACAATGTTCTCAAGACAACATTGGCTTGGCTCAGTAATTACAAACTCCCCAAACTTCCATATATGGTAATCTTAAGTCCCCAGATGTGCGAAAAGTTGTCAAACTGGTAGAACAAGTTTATACAGTGTAATAAATCAGATCAAATCAAATCAAACAACTAGTTCTGGATCAAACCAGGCAAATTAAGGGCGCCGGGTGTTGTCAGATAGATCCATAGATGAGTTTTTTTTAGGAAACACAGTTACTGGGCTTATAGTGTAGAATGGGATGGAGTTACATGTATCCTCAATAAGGCTGGAGAAATGGCAGACTACTTTAATTCATTCTTTACGCAGAAAGTGAACTCTCTGAGGGAGGGTTTAGACTTACAAACAGGAGACCTTCTCTGACACATATGGGATACGATCATGGGGGAAAAGGACTGTAGTTTTGAGTTCAAACTGGTAACTTGACTTAATTGAATATGTCTATTCCTGGTGTCCCTGGCCTCGAAACAAAATGGCTGACCAACACTCCCTATCTTCCATCACTTGGCCCAAGAAGTCCACCTCCAGGCCAGTGTCTCTCCTTAGGCAGTCTATGTATGTTGCAGCCGGTCTGCCAGGCTTCCTCCTCCCATACTTGGGAGTCCACAGTACCAACTTGCCACAATCTCCTCTCTTCTCCTGTGACAGTGACCAAACTGGTAAACTGGGAACAAATCCACAAACACCTTCTGTCCCTGTCGGATGGGAAAGCTACTGGGCTTGACCACGTCAACAACAACCTGTTGAAGCTGGCTGCAGACCATATTGCCAGACCAATGCCCTACATTATAAACTTGTCACTCACTACATATACTTCTGTGTATCCGATGGCATGGAAAAAAAGCTAAGGTTGTTCCACTGCCCAGGCCGAACAGTAGGCCTCCTGCCTAGCCTTTTTTTAGTAAAGTTATGGAGAAAGTTGTAAGTACTCAAATATCAGAATATTTCCACCTGAATGCCCTGATGTCACCTTACCAACATGCTTTCAGAAAACATCACTCAACTGGCACTGCACTCTTGCAAGTAGATGATAAATGGTACTGTAAAATCGACCAGGAGAACATAGTCGGGGTTATCTTTCTAGACTTCTCCGTTGTTTTTGACTTGGTGTATCACAGCCATTTGCTACAAAAACTAACATGTTACAGTTTCTCAGATACAGCGGTTGAATGGATGGGTACTAGTAGTTATTTGGCAGGGAGGGAACAATGTGTACATTTCAACGGCACAAACTCTACCTTCAACGTTCAAGGAGATACATTGTGGCGTTCCCAAAGGGAGTTGCCTTGGGCTGTTGCTTTTTTACGGTCTTTACTAACAGCTTGCCACTTACCGTGACAGAAACCACCCCCACCATGTACGCAGACGATACATCAGCATAT